GTCACTGAGCCATTTCTCCAGCTCTCCTCTCCCCGACCCTTGCTTCTCTTACTCTGAAAGCAGGCCTCCAGCATCACTGGTGTACTCCCTGTGGTCCTCCACACACACCCAGGGCAATCCAGCATCATTGGGTGTATTCCCCCTACCCTGGTTTTCCACACACACACACACACACACACACACACACACACACAGCAATCCAGCATCACTGGGTGTGCTCCTTGTGGTCCTCCACACCTACCCAGGGCAATCCAGCATCACTGGTGTGCTCCCCCCATCCTCCACACACACCCAGGGCAACAGATGGGCCTTTTCTGTGATCTGGTCACATTTTCTCCACAGCTCACGTGCCCACCTCGCTGCATTGCCTGCACGTCTGCACTCTCCTGTCTCCTCTTCCTCTCAATTCTCACAAGCCTGTGAAGTCTCACTTTGTTTGTTTGTTTGTTTATTGGTTCTTTGAGACAAGATTTCTCAGTGTATCCCTGGCTGTCCTAGAACTTACTCTGTAGACCAGGTTGGTCTCAAACTCACAGAGATCCGCCTGCCTCTGCACAACCACTGTCCGACACTTTAAAAATAATTTTAACTATTTATTTATTTGGGGGTAAGAGCACAAATGTCAAGTGTCAGGGCACCAGTGTGGAGGTTAGAGGGCAGTTTATGGGAGAAGGTCTGTCCCCCTATACTGTGGTCCCAAGGATCAAACGCCAGTCATCTGGCTTGGTGGCCAGTGCCTTTATATGCTGAGCCATCTCATGGTCCCCTATCACACATATACTTTTGTGAGAGAAGGTCTTAATGTAGCCCAGGCTGGCCTGGAATTTACAGTGTAGCCCAGGTTAACATCAAACATGAGGTGATCCTCCTGAGGACTAATATTACAGCTGTGAGCTGCCATGTGCTTGGTATGTGAGCATGCCAAGACTTGAGGAACAGTCTTACCAAGATTTAGAAAACTCAGTTTACCTTTATTTCCCCCTGTGGGATGGGAAGAATGCTCTTGTGAAACTGGAATCTGGAGACAGGTGTGGTAGGTAGCTCATGCCTGTGGCCTGGTGCTCAGAGGGTAGAAGCAGGAGGCTGAGAAGGTCAAAGTTATCCTTGGCTACAGAGTAAGTCTAAGGCCAGCCTGGTCTACAGGAGACCCTGTCTCAAAAAATTAAAGCAAAGTGGAGGGAGATGGGAGCTGGCTGGGACTACCAGTTCAGTTGGCAGAGTTTACCGAGCACGCACGAAACCCTGGGTTCTATCCTAAATATTGCACAAACCTTTATGACTGGGTCAGGCCCGGAACCTTCCACACTTGTCTCAGGGAAGCCTCACAGCTCTGCATGGCAGACAGTATTATTTCCATTTTACTGACTGAAAGTCAGGTTCAGCCGGGCAGTGGTGGTGCACACCTTTAATCCTAGCACTCAGGAGGCAGGGGGAGGTGGATCTCTGTGAGTTTGAGGCCAGCCAGGTCTACAGAGTGAGCTCCAGGTGGTCAGGGCTACACAGAGAAGCTTGGTCTTGAAAAAACAAAAGTCAAAACAAAACAAAAGAGTTTTCTCTGGTTAGGGGTGACACTTGGGAGGCAGAGGCAGGAGGGTCAGTTCAAGGTCAACCTTGAACTATAGGCTATATTCAGGGCCAACCAGGGCTACAGAGCAAAAAGGCTAACAGAAATACATGAATAAATAAATACATAAATAATGAGCATGTCTCAAAGTTGAACATGGCAGCATGTGCCTGTGGTACCAGATGCTTCAAGAGCTAAGGGAAAACAATCCTTTGATGCCAGGAGATCGGGGAACTCCTGAGAAACATAGAAAGAATGGTCTTTAGGGGGCTGGAGAGATGGCTCAGAGGTTAAGAACACTGCCTGCTCTTCCAGAGGTCCTGAGTTCAATTCCCAGCACCCAGACTCATAACCATCTGTAATGAGATCTGGTGCCATCCTCCTGAGTAAATCTTTAATATATATGTATATATATACCCCAAAATTATATATATATATATTTAATATATATACCCCAAAATTCAAAATTAAAAAAAATACATATTACATTTTATTTATGTGAGTCTGCAAGCATATGAGCCGCGGCATCCACGTTGAGGTCAGAGAATTTGGGAAGTTGGTTTTATCTTTCTACAGTGTGAGTTCCAGGAACTGAATTCATGTCCTCGGATTTAGCAGTGAGTGCCTTTGCGGCTGAGCCATCTCACAAGACCCCAAACTCAGACTGTTTTCAACCCAAGTTCAGTGTTCTCAGCTGTATTGTGATGACTTTGCAAAGAATTTATCATGACTGGGCTTGCAGAGGCCAAAGTTCTCGTCACAATACAACGCTGTGGAGTATAAGCTAAGAGCGAAGGGCCACTGCCGATAGAACACCCTTAGGAGATACTTTTTCTTTAAGTACAGTCAACACTTGAAGTTTTGGGTTTTTTTTTTTTTTGTAGTAGAATTGAACCCAGGCCTTCAGATACACTAGGTAAATGCCCTATCACTGAGCTATCCCTCCAGCCCTAAAAAGAAAGTTTATTTAAAATTTAAAATGTGTGCTTATAAAACAGCCAGAATATGCAAAAATTTTGCTTTCAAGGCAACTTCAACCAAAATTATGATAGTGAAAGAGGCAGAAAGGAGAAAAGGAATAGGGGACAGACTTCCCAAATAAGCTGACATAGGCATGTCTAAACATTGTCCCACGGTAACAATGGCTGCTTGCTTTGGAGAGGGGGCTGGGTGGGGGTGATGTCGTCCTTCATATGTTAGAGGGAGGCCCCTTCTAACAAAAGCTTTCCAAGGGGACAGCATGACCTTAGGTGATTCCCTCCAAACAATGTCTTTCCTTTCTGTGCAGTCTTCAGTGTTCTCAGCCCAGAATCCCACAGGCCCCAGCAAAGCCAACACTTGAGCGGAGCAAAGAACAATGCCCCATGATCCGCAGGCGCTCCGGGGAGACCGGGCTTTTGTGTTTTCAGCCGGCTCCAGGCACGTTTGGGAGTTGCGGGAGCAGACAGGGAAGGAAAGGAGGGGGTTCCTTCCACAGCCTCGGATTCCAGAGCATCCCAGTGACAGGAAAACCACGTTCAAGGCCTTCCCTACCCCCCACGACCCCCCCTCCGCCCCGCCCCGCCTCCAGTTGTGAAAGCAGATATAATGGGGCAGATCTGAGGCTTGGGGTAGGGGAGGTAGCTACCACTCCCTGCCCTCGGCCCACCCTTTGGGGTTCTCTGTGGGCTCACAGTCACAACTGGGACTTCAATGATGAATTGTTTTCTTTTCTTTTTATTCTAACCACCAAGTGCTTTCAAAATTAAAAAGAAAGAACAAAGAAAAGGGTCTGGAAAGACCGCTCAGTAGTTAAAAACACTGGCTACGGCTCTACCCAGATTTGAGTCCTAGCACCAAAACAGTGGTCACAAGGGGGCCTATACTTATGCTCTTAGGGTCTCTGTGGGCACCAAGGAAGCACATGATGTACAGATAGATAGGCAGAAAAAACACTCATACACAGAAAGATGTAAAATAAGTTAAAGAAAGAATTGAAAAAAATCGTCACAGTTGGATGTGGTTGCACATTCTTGCAAACCCAGCCCTGGGAAGGTTGAGACTAGGATCAAGGCTAGCCTAGGCTACCTAGTGAGAGCCTGTCTCAAAAACAGAATCATCCAAGAATGGTGGCTCGAGCCTAAAATCCCAGATTTGGGAGACAGAGGCAGGAGGACCCGGTGTTCTAGGTCAGCCTAAACTACATAAAGAGGAAAAGGGGATCATGGGATTACTTCGAGATGTACAGCCTGGTTACATGAAATTCCATCTCAAAAAAGAAAGAAAACACAGCCACAACAAAGAGCAGTACATAAAGGCGAACTAACAGCCCAGAGTGCTGGAGGAAAGACTAGCTTCAGGGTGTCCAATACCAAAGAGAAGAACCCTGTCCTTCTGAGACTTTCTTTGCTTAAGAAGGGCAACGGAAGCCGGGCGATGGTGGCGCATGCCTTTAATCCCAGCACCCGGGAGGCAGAGGCAGGCGGATCTCTGTGAGTTCGAGGCCAGCCTGGTCTACAAGAGCTAGTGCCAGGACAGGAACCAAAAAGCTACGGAGAAACCCTGTCTTGAAAAATTAAAAAAAAAGTGCAAAATGCCACCACTGAAAAGCCATTACTCGTAAATTTGCTATATCCAACTGGCAGCACATCTGGGGACGTGGGGTCCACACTTTCAGAAAGCCGACAGTTTAAACGGACATGTAATGCGTTGAGGCGCTACAGACCTCCTATTAGTGTCCACTCCTGCCTTGAGGAGGCTGCTGCCTTGCGTGATAGTAGCACCCCTAGGATACAGAGAGTAAAGAATCCAGAGAAGTCCTGTCCCTCCATTGCTATCTATATACAGATTTGGTCCAGCTGGGTAAAGCACTCTGGTAGGTTTGAATAGTCAACCTCATTCTACACAGATACCAGCAGAGGGCGCTGCACACCCAGCTAACTGACGCGGCTGCACCCAAGGGCTCCCTGGTAGAAACAGGTGGAATTGCTGAATCACCCAGCCGAGAAGCTAGGATCAGGCCTCTTTGGTGCCCCCGTCTTGTACTTCTCAGTCTTTCCCTCCAGACCATAAGCTCAGACAATGTGCCACTTACCTTCTGTCTGTGTAGACCAGAGAGAGCAGAGCTGGGCAAACATTAAAATTGTTGCTATTTCTGCAACTGTGTATCCACCAGAAGTAGCCAACTATGACACCAGAGCTACTACACTGGAAACCGAAGTGAGTTCCCCAACACGCACCTCCTCCTACAGGCTCCTTTCGCATCCCAGACCGGTGAAATACTTCCTTCATGGAGACCCCACACAGGATTAGAGCCTGGGAAATCCATCCTCCATGTGCACGCCTCAAGCCCCAAACATCTGTCTTTCTGGAGACAGGGTCCAAGATCCTTGCCACCCACAACCCCAGGAGAAGCACATAAATCTCTAGGTCCAGACAAAGGGCCGAAGGGACTCACACTCCAGCTGGCACCAGGGGCTGGAACTTCCACTGCTCCTCCTCACAGTCCAGGAAGAGCCGGTTCATAATCTTGTTCTTCTCCTCAGGGGGGATGAAGTTCTCAATGATGAGGTACCTGGGAGCAGGAGTCAGACAGAAATGGGAAGGGGAGGGAGAGACTCCGTCACAAAGGCATCAGAGAAGGTGGGGAAGGCGGGGAAGGGATGCCATCCCTACAGAAATAATGGAACTTGTCGGTCGGGCAGTGGTGGAGACAGAGGCAGGAGGATCTCTGTGAGTTCGAGGCCAGCTTGGTATACAGAGCAAGTGCCAGGACAGCCTCCAAAGCGACATAGAGAATCCCTGTCTCAAAACACACACCCTCCAAAAAAATTTAAAATAAAAGAAAAAGAATGGACCTCGAAGACCACTATTTCTAATGCAAAGACTGTGGGCCTGGGGCCTTTTGAGTTATTTTGACCAGTGCTCAGCCTACACTTTGGCAGAGGAAGGCAGAGCCATCAAACCAGACTGAGGAAGTGGAGCAAACTTAAGAGCTGGCCTGTCTCATGAGCTCCAGGTTCAGTGAGAGACCCAGTTTCAAAAAGGGGGCGTTGACAGAGGAAAAACTCCCCAATGCCATACCGTGGCCACCACATGAGACATACAAGCTGGGCAAGGTGGCCTACACCTGGCAACCCAGCAACTGGGGCGCTGAAGCAGGAGGATTGCTGAAAGTTCCCAGACAGCCTGAGCTACAGAGTAGGACCCTGTCCAAAAGAAAGAAAGAAAGAAAGAAATAGAGAAAGAAAGAAAGAGAGAGAGAGAGAGAGAGAGAGAGAGAGAGAGAGAGAGAGAGANGAGAGAAAGAAAGAAAGAGAGAGAGAGAGAGAGAGAGAGAGAGAGAGAGAGAGAGAGAGAAAGAAAGAAAGAAAGAAAGAAAGAAAGAAAGAAAGAAAGAAAGACAGAAACTCAAGCCAGGCAGTGGTGGTGCACACCTTTAATCCCAGCACTCAGGAGGCAGAGTTGCCCATGAATCTCAGTGAGTTCAAGGCCAACCTGTTCTACAGAGAGTTCCAGGACAGTCAGAACTGTTACGCAGAGAAACCCTGTCTTGAAAAACCAACCAACCAACCAAACAACCAAACAACCAAAAAACCACAAGCACTCAAAAAAATGGACACTTAAGTGAGTAGATTATCAAAATATAGCTTTCAGAAGAATCTCTCAGAGAGGCCCTGAGGAATCTGGGGAGACACGGGTACCCAGAACCAGAAGAGGAGCCAGCCCTACTTGAGCTTGAGTTCCCGGGTCTGCTCATTCTGCGCCTCCTCCAGGTCCTGCCGCACACGGATATACTCCTCGTGTTGGTCCTGGATCTCAGCCTTCACCGCCTGCAGCTTGGCATAGAGCTGGACACAAACAGGTGGGGCTCAGAGGCTGCTCGGTCAGGCACCAACCCCCGAGCCTGGGCTTCACAGGCCTAGGCTCAGAATGAGCTCAGAATGGCTGCCCATCACTATCAATCAGGATGGGCTATTTCAAGGGCTACCTCTGTCCCACCTCCCCGTGGTGGCTTGGTCCCTCCCACCCACTGAAACCTTAAGCTGTTACCTGCACGCTCTCTCTCTCTCTTGAAGTGTTTAAATTGAAAGAGAGCTGAGGGAAATTTTGGCCTAACATCCTCTCTTCACAGGAGAGGCTGAATAAACGGTCATAACTGGCCAAAAGAAGAGTGGAGACAAGCCAGGCAGTGCTGGTCCACATCTTTAATCCCAGCACTAGAGAGGCAGAGGCAGGTGGTTCTCCGAATTCAAGGCCAGCCTGGTCTACAGAGAAACCCTGTTTGGGGGTGAGGGTAGCCAGGACCCATGTCTCATTTTGGAGGGCTGGGGTTAGGGGCTGAGTGGGTTGGGAAGGTAACCCACCCCACTCCCACCTATTTGAGAAATTCCCAAGAGTGAGGGCACGGGAGCCTGCAACGGCTTTCCTATTTCCCTCCTAGCTGAGTGATGTTCTAGTGCCCGCTACAGGGACTGGGCCTGGGCTGGTCAGCTCTGAGGCGGTCACAACAATAATCCTGGGGGCGCTCCTGGCTCTTCCCTGAGTACACACTGGAATTTCCTACCCTAAACCCCCATCCCAGGTCACATCTTTCCATGAATTTTCAGGATCCTGGTGACCAGGTCCTTGAATGCTATGATTCAATGGTGACATTCAAAGTAGAGAAGTTAACCATGACCATAACGACAACCACCCTGACACCAGACTCCCGCCCCCTGGTTGTCCCTCGCCCCATCAGCCCAGGCAGTATATATAGCTCAGGGACTGGGCAGTGGGAAGGGGCCTTTGAGGCACCCTCTCTGAGCAGCCAACTCTTAGGCAGCGCCTTGTTTACCCTGCCGCTCGTCTTACCTTCTTGAGTTTCTTGGTTTTGACCTCCACCTCCTGCTGCAGGGACGAGTAGGTACCACGCAGCTCCATGGTCTCCTCATCTCGGAGCAACATCTCCTGCTGCATTTCCCGCTCGCGGCGTTTCTAGGGCAAGGCACGGCAAGGAGGTCACAACAGGAAAGCAAGGCCCACTGAAGGAGGCTAAAGAGCACAGGGGCTGGCTCACTCTGCCTGACACAGGACCCCTCTTTTCAACTTCAGTGAACACAACTATGCCAGGTGTGAGCCTGTGTGCATGGAGACCCCAGCACTAAGAGCAGGCATACCCTGGGGACATTACCTGTAGCATCGCAGCTGATTGGAAACTAACTTGATGACTTAGGAAATAATCACACAGTTGGCAGGGAAGGCCCAGAGGTCTCGTGGAGGCTAACTGTGGGGAGAGGCACCCCTTCTTCTCACCCGAAGAGAAAACGCTGAGCTGGCAGACCCATGGAATCCAAGTGACTTAGCTTAGGTTCTCGACGTTCTAATTCCAGGATTCCCAGCCCAGTCTACCCCACACACGACCTCAAGGTCACACGCTTCCTGGAACCTGAAGTCTAGCAGCCTCACCTGCTCAGCAATCTCCTGTCGCTTCAGTTCCAGCATCTTCTGCTGCTCATTGGTGTGATCCATGATGTTCCTTCCGCCGATGAGTAGCTTGCTCTCCATGGCCTGAGGATACAATGGGGTTCAGAGATGGACTGGCAATGGTCCATGGCATAACAATTTGGGGTTTTTGTTTGTTTGTTGGTCACAGAGTCACATGTGGTTCAGACTAATCTCAACCCTTCTATGCAGTAGAGGATGGCCAGGATTACAAGTGTGAACCACCACACGTAGCTTTATTGGTTTGGTTGCTTTTGTTGTTTTTTGTTTTGATTTGTTGAGAAAGGATCTCACTGTGTAGTGTTGGATAGCCAGAACTTATTAAATAGATCAGGTTAACCTATATGTAGATCAGGCTAGCCTGGAACTTGTGGCAATCCTCCTGTTTCTGCCACGAGAGTGCTGGGATTGCATGTATGTGACATCATGCCTGTTGACCACTTAAGAGATCTTCTCTCTCTCTCTCTCTCTCTCTCTCTCTCTCTCTCTCTCTCTCTCTCTCTCTCTCCTCCTTCATGTAACAGAGCCAAGGATAAACTTAAACTCCTGATCCTCTTGCTTCCACTCCAAGAAGGACCACAAAGCAGAGACTCTGCTCCCCTTTCCTGTGATCCTTCTAGGAGTGGACGTAAGACCTGTCCAGAAGGAGCCTTGTAGCCGTCAGTGGAGATTGAGTTTCCTCCTCCAGCCTCTAGAGCAGCAGCACAGAGCTTACATTGTGGACAGGATCCTTAAGGAATGAATATAAGGCGCCCGATCTCTTTGCTATGGATACGAAGGAATGGCTGGGTCACCATGCCTGTGAGGAGGGTGGGTGGCAATCTATTCCTGGCAACCAGGCTCCAGATGGCATGCAGCAGGAGGAGAAAAGGCAGCCACTGGGCAGCCCAGCCCTTGGACTGCGTGGTTCCTGACTCAGGAAGACAGCTCATCACTGGGGCAGCAGGAAATCTTGGTCTAATCTTGGGCTGCTGAGGAAATCAGAACAACCCAAGAGAGAGAGAGAGAGAGAGAGAGAGTCCCCAGCAACAGGGGACAAAATGAGGCCCCAGCGGCTACCTGTGCTTTAGACACAACCTACAAAACTCCTGCTCTGCCCACTAAGCTGAAGGCCCAGCAAGCCATGCCCTCCCCCTCAGCCACAGTATCAGAACCTCACTTCATTTCTGCATGGCTCACAAACACAGGGGCTGACAGAACCCTCAACAGCCAGGAGCTCCCTCCTTCCTCCCCATGTACCAAATGACGAGACAGAAAATAACAGAGAGGAGAGATCCACACACCACGTCCCCAGCCTCACTGAGATCCATGCTGTGTGAAAGCCCCCACCCCACCTGGACTGGCACAAAGTCTGACCCCATAAGATGCACTGTCATTACTGCCAATAAGAGGGCACTTTCCCAGGGCAGACGACTGCCCTCTGATTTCATTGCTGGCCTCCTGGAAGGCTGACATCACCTTGAACCACTGGAAGAAATTGGCTGCTGCCCCACTGGAATTTTTCCCGGTGGAACCAGCTGACATGTCTGAGGGCTCTCAGACCTGGGGATGCTGCCAGGCTGGGGGAGTGGGCAGCCACCTGTGAGCATCGCATCATTGGTTTCAGGGAAGGCCAGCGGCTAAAGGATGCTGCAGGGAGGTCAGAAGCTGAGTTGTGCAACATGATAGTGGACACTGAGCAAAGCCAGGCCAGATGGAGAGGCGGGAACCTCGCGTCAGACCTATGCAGTCACAAAGACAAAGGAGAGAGCAAGGGGCTATGGAGGGGCTGGGTATCCTTGATGCCACACCATAGCCCTCTGCACCCCTGGATGATTCCCTCACAATCTAGTCCATCACTGTGTCATAGACCTAACTCATCTTGACTCCTCTCAGTTCAAGGTTATAACGAGCATCACCCTGAAATTCGGTGCCCTTGGCAGCTTGCTTTAGCACAGCCTTACACCTTACTCACCCCCATAAATGGCCAGTGATTATATGTCATCATTAAATGCTCCTGATTGCAATTTACATCACTGTCTCCTTTTTGTCCTTCCTGATGCCTGCTGACCTCACTAAAATCTCTAAGGTGTGTCTGGACCACCCATGGGCTCCGACAGCCTCAGTTCCCTCTTCCGTTATCCATCCTCCAAAACCACAAGCCTAAACAGCTTCTCCTCTGCTCAGATTATTCCACGGGCCTCTATTCCCCACAGGAGGAAACCCAGTGTTCTCTTCTCCCCACTCCATAGCTACCTGGAAAACTGTTACTCATCTTGCAAGACCCAGCTGGAAAGCTTAGGAAAATTTCATTGATATCTCAGAACTCTGCCATAACCACGGCACATCCCTAGAGTTTCTCCGATACTAGAAACATTCCGCTTCATCCCCTGTTAGCTCCATCAAGGTCAGACTCATGCCTGGCTCATATGCCAGGGTCCCTGGAGCTTGGCAGAGTATTTGGCATAAAGCCGTTCCCTTTAAGTGTTAGGGGAATGGAACAGAATCCTTAGGCTTTATCCTAAGGGGGATTCCAAGCCTTTATTTTTTGTGGGGGCTTTATCCCCGCCCCTTCTTCCATCCCTCAACTCATGTTCCCTGTCATGGGGTCACAACATCTGGGAAACCCAGTATCGTGGTGGGAAAGGTTGACATAAAGCCCCCTGCTGTTGAGGATCACAGGGATCTGTGCGCTCTAACATCTGGGTGGCATCTGGTTCAGTCTCCATAGCTGACACATTGTCCATTCCAGCCCTGAGTCTTCAGAGTTCGCTCAGTATTTTATGTAATTCTGGCATCCTTTAATCTCCGTCACTTAACAAAAAGGCAATACTTCTCAAATTTTGCTGCCCATTGGAATCACCTGGGAAACGAACAAACCACCCAGACTCAGTGAATCAGAATCTGCACTTTCTGGGTCTGGGGCTTGGTGGATAAAAGGTTTGCTGGGTCAGCACAAGTAATCTGAGTTTAGATCAACAGTGTTGAGAGAGGTGATGGAGACAGTAAGTGCTGAGAGAGGTGATGGAGACAGGAAGTGCTGAGGAGGGTGATGGAGACAGGAAGTGCTGAGGGGGGCATTGGAGACAGGAAGTGCTGAGAGAGGTGATGGAGACAGGAAGGGCCCTGGGACTTGTTGGGCAGCCAGTCTAGGTTCACGGAACTCCAGGCTCACTAAGGAAAATAAAGGTGGGAAGTGATAGAGGAAGATACCAATGTTAACCTCTGGCTTCCACAAAGCTCTCTCTCCTCTCTCTCTCTCTCTCTCTCTCTCTCTCTCTCTCTCTCTCTCTCTCTCTCTCTCTCACACACACACACACACACACACACAGAGTATGCATTTTCCTAGGTCCCTGAGTGATTTATGTGCCCCTGTGTTGAGGGTTTTAGGAGACAAGACTAGCGACAGGAAGAGCAGCATGTGTTCACCAACAGAAGATTGTGCCCTTCTAGCCACTCAGAGTTCTTCCAAACTGGGACAAAATTACAGCAACATTAGGGAAGCCAAAGGCCAGGATTTGAGATGTTAAGATGCTCTCACCCCACTCAAAGGTTGTACATCAGAGGTATTCAACAATGCATGGGGTGTGAAGGCAGTGGTGGAGCACGTCTTTCAGCCCAGCACTCGGGAGGCAGAGGCTGGTGGATCTCTGAGTTTGAGGCCAGCCTGGTCTACAGAGTGAGTTCCAGGAAAGCCAGGGCTGTTACCCAGAGAAACTCTGTCTCAAAAAAAAAAATAAATAAATAAATAAAAAATAAACAACAACAAAAGTTGTTTGTATAAGGAAGCACATACTGATTAACTGTTCAATTTCACAGATGCCCCCAAATCCATTCTCCGTCATAAGGAACGGTGTGAGCTGATCGAAGTAAATAACTAAAAGGCAGGTGGGTGAGCGTCTATTACAGCTTCCCATTTGCGGGAAAGTGATCCTAATGCTGTTCACTAAACGACGGCTGTGGGCAAGGCACTATGAGGCAGACTAAGACAGGACAGAGAAGGGAGAAACCCTCTATGCCTCCCAGAAGACATCGGCTTAGTATGCTGCCAAGGCCAAAACATCCAATAGCAGTGGGCCAAGGACCTTCGTGAAGGCTTTTTGGAAACAAAACACAACAGATTATCCCTTTGCAGAGAACCACGATGCAGCCAAATCTGGAGTACTGTGCCATTCTGAATCTCCAGAGACTCAGAGGAGACAGGCGAGCCGGAGAAGGGCGGCGAAGGCCGTCTCAGGGCTACTGTAAGAGATGGAAAAATAGGATTCCTCAGGCTGCAAAAACAAAGGAGGATTAAGAGGAGAGGCCCGGACACAATATAATCAAAGACGGCTGTAGGAAGGAAGCATCCTGGCTTTCCCGTTCAATCCCAGCACACACATGGGATTTCAAAAGAAGCAGCTTTTAGGACACGCCGGAGGGAAGATGGCCCGGGTAGTGCCGCATGCCTGTGAACCCCAACACGTGGAAGGGTGGGAGGAGGAAAATGGGGAGTTCAAGGCCAGTTCTGGGCACGTGGGGAATTCAAGTTTGACAACCGCTTGGGCTACACAAGACCCGACCTCAAAAACAAAGAAATGAGGGGCTGGAGAGATGGCTCCGTGATGAAGAGCAGTTGCTGCTCTTAGCAGACTCGAGTCTGGGGCCCAGCACCCATGGCAGGTGGCTCATAAAGGCCTGCAACTTCAGCACCAGGGGGATCTGATGCTCTCTTCGCACTTCCAGAGGCGTTTGTATGCACGTGGCATACACATACATGTACATTTAATAAAAAAAAACTAAAAATAAAATGACTTTGGGGGACAAGTAAGAAACGTCATAAATTTCCTAGCATAGCTAATTTCTTTCATCTTTCTTCCCTGAAAATTGTGTGTATAAGAACTAGTTCCAGGAGAGGCTCCAAAGCTATAGAGAAACCCTGTCTCAAAAAACTAAAATAAAGGGCTGGAGAGATGGCTCAGTGGTTAAGGGCACTGGCTGCTCTTACAGAGGTCCTGAGTTCAATTCCCAGCAACCACATGGTGGCTCACAACCATCTGTAATGAGATCTGGCGCCCTCCTCTGGCATGTGGGCATATATGGAGGCA